CCACCAGGGAAGCCCAAATTTATCAATTTTTGAGTCATTTATAAAAGGTCATCCCTGCTGCAAAGTTATAAAGGAATTTGTCCAGTTTTCTTCAATTTGTTTTATTATTTTAATTTCTACATCTAGGTATTTGAGCCATTTGGAGTACATCCAGGTACATGTTTTAAGGAATGGATTTAGCTGTATGTTTTTCCAGATGTCAGATATCAGCCTTAGTTGTTCCAACAGCAGTTTTTAAAATAAAGTTCATATTTACCTGACTACTTGAGATTCCACCTTTATTGTATACTCAATTCTGGTATATATTGTTTTGGTTTTGGGGTTTTTTTTTTTTGGCCATACCACGTGGCTTGCAGGATCTTAGTTCCCTGACCAGGGATTGCACCCGGGCCCTGGCAGTGAAAGTGCCAAGTCCTAACCACTGGACTGCCAGAGAATCCCCTGGTATATATTGTATTTATTTCTGGACTTTCTATTTCAGTCTCTTAGTGTGTCTGTCTGCTCATACACCAGTATCACACTGTTTTAATTAGTAACTTAAAAAAAATTACATTTTCATGTGTGGTCAGGCTAGTCCTCTCTCATTGCTCTTCCTTTTAGCGATTTCCTGGCTATCTTTGCTTATTTTTCTAACCAGTACTCTTTTATCACTACTGTGACCAAGCAGGCCCCTATGGTGTCTTCCCAGGACAGACCCCTCCCCCATATCCTCTGCTTTAGCTCCTCTCTGAAGTACCTAGATAATAGTATCTGCTGCACATTTCTGGAGTTGTTTTACAGATGCAAAACCCCCCACAAAATGGAAGAAATTGACTACTTGATGACCATGAGCATGTAGTCCCCAGACCCACTGGTGCCTAAGGATTGACAATGTTAACCCCTGTTAACCTCACCATCAACCAATCAGAGAACTGTGCACAAGCTGATCACTTACCCTGGGACTCCTCCTCCCTCACCTTGCCTTTAAAAATGCTTTGCTGAGACCCATTGGGGAGTTTGGGCTTTTTAGGCATGTCTTGGACTACTTGTATGGCACCTTACAATAAATGCTGCACTTTCCTTCACCATGTTACCAAGTCCAAGCTCGCTCTGCTCACCGCATGACAGGCCAATAAATCGGGACACAAGGTATTGAGGCAAAGAGTAGCGACTTTATTCCAAAAGTCGGCAGACCAAGATGGCAGACTAGTGTCCTAGAGTGTCTTATCAGTGTCTGGATGCTAGTTTCTTTTATAGAACAGAGAGGGGAGGAGGGGAGGAAGTAAAGTAAAAAGGCCATAAGTCTTGCAAAATATCTCCTGGTTTTGGCCAGCTTCGGGGAGGGGATATGTTAATTTCTTCTTTTCTGCAGCTATTCACAGGTAGGCAGGGTCAGGGTGCTTCCCTGTGAGCTGAACAAAGGCACTTTAGTTTAACATTCAGGCAGAGGGGCAGGGTTTCCCGAGGAAGGCCATTACATATGCCAATAGCTATAGATAGAACAAAAGCAATGGACAGCAAAGGTCAAAGTAAAAGAAACAGTTCCAACATGGAGTCAGATTTTGTTCTTCCTTGTTAACAACCACAACCTGGTGTCAGTCGATTGGCTTTACTGCGTGCAGGTGAGCAGACCCAAGTTCGGTTCAGTAACAATACCTTATAAACCATTTAGTTCTGAAACCAAGCAGGACCCTGTGGGGCCCTCCCTGGTACAAATCCTTTCCATGTCCCCCATTTCTTGTTTGTAGGAAATAGGCTTCATTCAGCCTCCTTGACCTTCCCTGAGTTCCAAAGGGCAGATTCAAACAGTTGGCTAATTAGCGAAGGAAGGAGATGTAGAAACAAGGGAGGAGCGGTCAAGAAACAATAGTGCAGACTTGGGGCAGGGTCCTGGCTCCTCCTCAAGGAATATACATAACAATACCTTTGAGTTCTGCAGGAACTAATGCCCCCACCCAGGTGGAGGATGGTAACTTCAGGTAACTTTTGCCTATAAAAACTTCTCCCCTAAGACCATTGGGGAGTTTGGGGTTTTTGAGCACAAGCCACTTGTTCTCCTTGCTTGGCCCTGCAATAAACCTTTTTCTGCTCCCGACTCTGATGTTTTGGTTTGTTTTGCCTCACTGTGCATTGGGCACACGAACTTGTGTTCAGTAACAGCCAGCAGGCTAGAATCAAGTCTGCAACATAATCCATTCCAGTTCCGCAACATAATCCATTCCAGTTTATCAAGTCTTAATGCTTTTTTTTAGCAGAAATTGAATAAATCACTTGCAATAAAACTGCAAATACAATTTGGTAAACAATTTTTTCATTTAAGCACTTTCCTGTTATTACAGTCTTTTTAAACATAACATTCCATAATTTCCATAACTATTCATCTACTGTTGGATACTTTCCATTTTCCCTATTGTTTCTATTCCTTTTCGTTATGAAAAACAAAACAAAACAAAACAACAACCCTGCAATGAGTATCTTTATGCATAAGAACACTTTAAATAGTTTTCGGCACTGATCTTTAGTGGGATTATTGAAGTGGCATCTTTAAAATTGTGGATACACATTACTAAACCTTCTACCTGTTTACACTCCAACAAGCTAGTTCATGCAGCATCAACTTTGCCACACTTTTCTCATCAGCAATTGATTACCTCAGTACTTTGAAAGGTCACTTACAGCATTTTAAGTGTGCAAACGTGGGGTGAGTGGGCTCCATTGTGTTGGGATTAGTTGTAGCCAATGGGGGAGGTTAGATTGCCCAGGGACTGAATTGTTCTTCTGTTTGTTTTTTTGTCTGCTTTTTGTTTTCTCAATTCTGACTGAATTGTTTTTAACAAATGAGGTTTCCAAAGACAATGAGGAAAAGTGGAGATCAGGAAGGAATAGTTTCATTATAGTTTCATTATGGAGTAAATAGAAAATGTTTTCTATTTCAAATAAGTTACTCATAAACTTTCGGAACACTACCCATTGAAAAGCTGGAGGCTACATGAATTATGTTTTGGTACAGTTGGTACCAGTGTTAATATATCAGTGTTCACAATGAAAATGTTTATTACTGCTGACTGAAAAAAACAGAAAACAAAAAACAAAAAAAAACCCCACTATTCAAAGTGGGAATTAAAAAAAAAAAATCACCCGCCTTGAACCCATCAGGAGGATCAAAGCACCTTTTAAAGCCTGTGTACACAATTTACACATTAAACCACCATTTGAGCCAATAAAATGACAGCTTTTTCGATACTGGGAAAGAAAAAAACTCACACTAGAAAAGTATATTATACAACCAACTTCCTTGAGGTAATGGCAAGGGCATATCACCGCAAGAAAAAAGGGAAGAGCATTAAAAAGTTCCTTCTCAGCCCTTAAGTCCTTTAGAGAAATGACTGCCTTTTAACTCATTTTTGGACATGTTTTGGATGCATTTTGGATACAAAGGTCTATTCTTTGGCATCTTAAGAGCACTGTTTTGTTTCCATTTTCTCCCCATTTCTCCATAATCATTTGATTCTAAATACTATTTCCATGACAGGAAAGTGGCTTCTTTTTGTAGTTGGCAGATATTGCTATAAGTATGTGAAAGTGTCATTTGGATTTCATTGGCCTAGTCAAGCCTCTTCCAATTTGTAATTTTGCTCTTTCAGTTTGTATTTTTCATTTCTCTTTTCTCCTTTTTTCCATTTCAGTGGCCCATCATTTGCTGTTTCTCTTATTCTTTAGCACCTCATTAGGAGTGGGTAGGCAATGGAGAGGAAGGAGTGTATGAACTCAAACCTGTTAACTCTTGGAAAAAATATTTCAGTGAAGATCTCTGAAGTTTTGTCCCTTAAAGTTATTTTGTTTCCGAAACGTGTAATCTTACGCAGATGGAAGACTAACATCTCCAGCCAGTCTTAGAATTGTTATTTTGGGGGGGCACAGGGTGAGGAACTTGAATCAACCCTTGCATTTAGAGCACCAGGACTTGAAAAGCCAAGTGCAATTATGTAAGTCAGTATTTTAAATAATACAACCTCTACCAGAATTTCTTGTTTTTCCTTCATCTCCATATTCTCGGAATAGGAATACTGATAGGGCTGTTTTAATCGTACAGCGAATGCGGGTGCAATGCAAGTTCAAAACAAGTTTGGGGGCTGGTTTACGTGAACCTGAGTTAGCTGCTTGGCAATCAACACGGTTTTTCATTCAACAGAATCTCGTGAGGCTTCTGGGTGAAGAACTTGCCCTTGTTCCTGTCAGATTTAAATAATGAAAATGATGCTTAAAAATTATGTCCTCTTGAATAACTCGTGTCAGGTCAGTTCTTAGGCCTCCCTCTTCCTCCTCAGGTTCCTGGCAGGAAACGCGTGGAGAAGGAGAGGATGAAAACGTTCCAGTTCCCGGCTGCAGCGCGTTAGAAAAATTTTCCATCCGTTAGTTGAGCCCTTGACTGCTTGAAAAGTGTGGTTTGAAACAGGGTTTCTCTTATCTCTCTTTAAAAGCCTCTTTCTGGTATAGTGTTACAAATAGCAAGCGGGTTTCCGATTTAACCACCAAGTGACGCCCCCTCCCCTCCAGCCCTGAGGCTCTTTAAAACAAAATAACCAAAATTCAGGTTCTGTAAATTCTAGAGGGGGAGGGGTGGGAAACCAGGCTTGTGGAGGGCAACGGACTACAATTCCCACAAACCCTCGCGAGCTGGTATCCAGTCTGTCTCTCCCCTCTCCCCCTCCCCACGCCCCTGTGCCCTGCGCTTGCGCGGAAGGCCCTCCGCTTAGAGGAGGGGGCGGGGACAGGACTACGCGCCTGGAGGAAAAGGAGGAGGAGGAGGAGGAAAAAAAGAGACCATAGACTTCCACCTGGGCCTAGAGC